AATGTATTTATCATGTTTTACTGGGAACTAATTCCGCAACATTTTTATTAAAAGAAGTACTCTGATTTTTTATAAAGCATAAACAAAATTGGTCTTTTCTGGCCGTGAAAATGGGGATGTCACAAGTGGCTTCGACCCACAAGTACAGTGAGGAAAACTCACCTCACAGTATGAAAAATGGTTGAACAGATCACTGCTCCAAATACTGCCTCTACATATCATATATACAAATAAAAGGACCCAATATCTCCCATAATTCTCATTAAGTTCTTATTCCTTTAAGTCATTACATCTAAGTCTCAGATCTAATCCTAAATAACCTCTTAAATCATAAAGTTTCCAACTTCATGACTTTGCATGACTAGAAAGTATCCAAAACTAACACCCTAACATATCACAATATTCTAAGCTGTCACACCCCTAAATCGGAACGGCGGAAACGTTCGGGGGCGGATGACGTCATGTACAGTATCACAACAATTTTATAATAGTAATCAAAGTACAACAACCATGATATTGATAATGTATAGTTTTTACATCCGTGTTCAAATCAATGTATACTTGACACCAAAATGTATAGCAAAAACTAAAAGACGTAACTCTATGAAGCTCCGTCTTCTCAAAACCTGTGTGGATACCTGTCTACTGATTCCCTGAGAATACAAGTAGTTTTGAAAAAAGTGTCAACAATTAAGTTGGTGAGTTCATAAGCATGTTTGTATTTGAAATCAGTCATTTGTTCCTTGAAAATGTACGTGTTTTCTTCCAGAAAATCTAATATTTTCAGTTGTAAATGAATTGTAGTCTTAGTACTTTAAGACTAAAATGTATAAGTGTTATTGTACTCTGAAATAGTATAATGTAGTTTTAATTCAAATAAAACCATAAAATGTATGTTTATAGAAATGTTAGTTTTCTCTGTAATGGAAATAGTATTTTGTATTTGTACTTGTATGAAAATTCTTTAATGTAAAAGCCTGGATTCACCAGCTGTACTGTAAAATAATGGATTGTAGTTTTATTATTAAATAAAACCATATGAAGTTGTTTATGTATTCGTACACTAATCGTATTGTTCAATACCAAATTGTGAGTTATTATAACCATGCTTAATGACCTAAGATGGCCTGAATACGACGTTCTTCAGGCGTCAGAATCGGTATGACATTTGTCACCCCAGGCCAGCCAGCCTAACTGTAGCTAATAGTTTAGGTGCGGGATTGTCAGTCCCGTATAGATCTATACACAAGTGTCACGCTCTCCCTCCAGGAGACTCTAGTTATAATTTCAGGGCTTGCTTGGTACTTAGATAAGTACTTGAAGTATGTCTCACAAAGCTATATTGACTGTTACGAGTAGAATAATGAAAAGTCACTTTGTAATGAATAAACTGTATGTATGTTTCATAAACTATATCTATTATAGTTTATATGTTTGTTTCTATTAAATTGTAACCTGAACTTGATAAAATAGTACATATGTTCCATAAACTATACCTATTATAGTTTATATGTTTGTTTCTATTGAATTAAAAACCTTTGTATTATTAACGACTTTGCAAGTTTAAAATCGTAAATCCGTGAAAAAGATATTCCGTGAAATTTAACATTTATGTCCAAATGGTAATAAAATAAATTGCAAAAATATTCTTTTTGTTTAACATGTTTAAATAGTTTTATACTTATATATATATATATATATATATATATATATATATATATATATATATATATATATATATAACTACGATTAAAAAGGTAGTCGAATCGTTAAGCTCACAACCAAACAAGGAACAAGAAATAAAGCAAAATCACAAATTCTAAGCCTGTTGAATCTTAATTATATAATTTATATAGATATATAAATATATGCTTTTTTAGTAACGACAACGATTGAAACTATTTGAAATAATTTAGATATTAACACAAGATTTCTTGTGTTTTACTTGTATTTCCCCCCCCCCCCCCCCCCCCCTAAAACAATGAAAAATCATGAAAACGTAGGGGTAAGAACTCACCTCGAGTGTGTGTTCTTGATTGGGTACGATGTGGTAGCGATAATCCTCGGGTTAGAACACGTATATAAATTCGTATCCTAATAGTATTAAACACATATAATATATGTAAATTAGATCACCTAATAATAAAGTGTTGTATAACACTAATTTATGTAAGAATACTTACAAATTAATTCCTAAGAATTAATTGAAGGTTTTGATTTCCTGGGGAAAATCTTGAAGATGTTCTTGTTGTTCTTGAGGGAAATATGAAGATTTGAAGGTTTTCTGGGAAACTGCTTGAAGATATGAAGATTGCCTTATGAACTTTGAGAGCAAAATAGAAGGATTTCGGCCTTGAAATGTGAATTGTAAGAGTTGTTTTCGGTTATATATATATATATATATATATATATATATATATATATATATATGGGATAAAATGATTTGACATGTGTATTGGGAGGTGTATTTTATCACTTTGGATTGTGTGCCACCGCCTAGGAATGAGATTTTGGCCATAAAGAATTAGATTTCGGTCCTAGCATGACCGAAATCACCTAATGTGTCTCACAAAAGGTAGTTTTCGGTCTTAGTGGAGCACCCAAAACCGAAAATCCTAATTGATCTAAGATTCCAAAAGCCGAAACCACTTGTTTCCTAGATATTAGAACCGAAAACTCAATTGTTTCTAGATTCCAAATACCGAAATCTAATATTAGGTGTCTTATTTGTGGTTTTAACTTAACCTTCTTGACTTATATTGACTTGATACTAACTTACTTCAACATTGTTTTCAATATAAGTATATATAACTTATATTAGCATGGCTTTCAAAGTATAATCGTATATATTAATATGCCCTCATGGCTAATTGTGATTTAATGTAACAAGGTTACAATGTGGTTTCCACTTATACATGGTACATCTTTTGACTTAAACTAATAGACTTTTGTTTATAACATTGATTTTTATTTAAACATTGTTTGACCTTTATTGACTTTCTTTGACTTTTATTGAATGGAAATAACTGGTTGTTACATAATCCCCAATACTCATGCATGGATGAAAGGAAAGGATCAAGATCACATTTTTATGACTTCATGCACTTCAAAATATCTAAAAAGGATACTCATTAGGTCTGGAGTAGCTCATACTTTACTAGACCAAGATTATGGGACCAAAATGCATAAAACTTAAAAACTAACAAGATTTAGTGAAGCACTCATCAAGTTTAGAACTTTATACCTTCTGGAGGTTTCTTGAAAGGTGCAAATCCAAGATCTACAATACTTGAAGCTTTCCAAGTGCATTCTAATGATCTTTTTCCTTCAAGGATGGACACAAAACACTCAAATAGCTCAAAACTCTCAAATGAAAATTAGTGTTTGCAAGGGGTTATTTGGGAGGGTGGAGGCTGAAGGTGGAAGGGTTTATAGGATTTAAGGTTGCTTAAATAGGGCTCAAACCCTCAATATTATGGTTTGCATATCTGCCGAGTACGCCATGCATTCCCATTGAGTACGTCATGTGTATTCTTAAACACACACGTCCCTTTTAACAGCTTACGCCCAACGAACGCCCCAAGTACGCAGGGTGTAAGGACCATTTTTGCAATAATTGATACTTTGAGATAAGAAAGGAAATTACTAGATTGCCTGGGTGTTACAGTTCCTTGCACTTATTTTGAAAATATGTTGAATTACCTTGAGATGTTTGGGACCATTATTTCTACAACCACTTTGATTGAACTTTTGAAAGTTAAAATTCTTTTCTTAACTCATTTTTAATTTGAGCCTAGAGAGCGGTATTTCAGTTGTGGTGATCGATATTTAAAAATGCAAATCAGAACTTTCACACTTTCTAGAAACTAAATTTTGAGCACTCTCAAGGTCTAACATCTTCAAAACTTCTACTACGAAACTCATCATGAAATGGGGCAACATGTAATTCTACTACTACTTTTTTTTCATATCTTCATCTGCTTAAAGTTTTCCTAACTTGTTGTTCCTTCAGTTAGGGTTTCGAATGGGAAGAATGAGTTCGAAACTTCTTGATGAGTTTCAAACTTGTTCTTCCAGTTTGAAACCCTAAATATAAGGTTGTATTGGTTGGATTTGTGTATTAGCATCTTTCGTAGTGTAGGGTAAGGTATACAAACTACGTAGGTAACTCATTTAGTTGAAAATATTATTTTGAACATTAAGAACATGTTCGAAAAGATGGTAACTATTGGTTTATTTGCTAGATTTTTTCTTTAACACATTTTAGAGTGTTGAATAAGTTATAAAGCTATTGTAGGTATTTCATTTAGGTTAACATTTATTTCTAATATGAACAATAAATTTGAAACTTATTAATGTTCAAAACTCGGTAACAGATTGGATACTGATTTTGTTTATAATGTTTGTGGTTTTATTACATCGTCTTCGCTTTTATGAGGCCAACTTGACTCTAAAATTCAACACCATATCCAGAAGAGGCGATAGTGGATAAGTAGAGTATGATACATGTATGATTAGACATGTTTATAGGCATATGTTTTGGATCTTATCTAAATCTACAGAGACCAAAGGGCTTGTAGCCCAGCAGTATTAGGTGTTGCCCTCCTTCTTTGAGGTCGAGGGTTCACATCTCGTGGTGGACATAGATGGAATAAGTGTTGTTAGCTTAGGAGTAGAACACCAAAGGTGGACATAGGTGGTATAGTAGGTTGTAAATTAAAGACTTAAGGATTTCAAATGAATATGATTATATTTTATAAGATATAATTGATAATAGATAATATATAATATATAATTAATAATAGATCATAACACCATTAAGAAACACAATGATCAATTTTTATAGTTAGGGCATACAAACAAAATTAATCAAATTAATGAATGTAATAGATATACTCGTTAGAGAAACAAATACCACAAGAAACTCATGATATAGTTATACAACCCAATAATTAGATGTAACTTCTATAATTACACAAACATTACCAAAATCCTGTAATTACATAAATATCCTAATCAAGAATTAAATGTGCGTATATTAGGTTGTGCTGCAGATTGGAAGATACAAAAGAACACGTATATTAAACCAAAGCTAAAGTTAACTTGCTTTCCATTGAATGTAACTCCATGGTCGTTTAGTCGTTTTCACGTGAACAATGACGCTCTTATGATCCCTTGGATGTCTATCTCAACATCATGTGTTACCCTACGAGATTTCCCTTCAATATCTTGTTGCATCAGTATAATTTTCATTTGGGTTTGCATCCACACGAGCAATTTTGGAGTTCATTGTTAAGGCTCTACAAAAGAAGCAAAAATTAACCACGTCGCACGATCTACAATATAAGATTAATCAGAAACATTGTCAAGAAAACATGCAATATGCCCCCAAGCCTTTTTGGTGCTTAAAATCTCGTAACACAATTTATAATGAACGTATATTACTTACAAAATTTACTTATAAGCTAAAAAGAATATTTTATCAATCATTCATTTATTATTATTTAATATAGTTTCTACCAACCTGAACGTGAGTTTGAAGGCCTTTTATATGTTGTACAGCCAGGTCCAACATATCTGAATAGCTTGTTTGCTGCAAAAAGAATTTTCACCAAAATAACTTTGTAATTATATTTTGTATGTTATGGTATAAAAAATGATATGATTATAGGTTTTATTTATTTGGTGCAAATAGAATTAAAACAAAAATCATAAAATAAAAGATGCAATCTAAGTGATATAGCTACCTTATCCATATTTGGAACAAGATCTTGCAACTTCTTCAGCTTCCCGCTTATTCTTGTTCTTCTTTCCTAAATCAACAACAAAATATAAGAACTTGGAACTAATTAATAAGCGTTGACGAGTCAACCAAATGTGATCTAATCCTCTTTTATTAATGCTTAATAATTAAGAAAAATAATTGTGTCAAAATCGAAATATTGTAATAATATAGTGACCTTCTTGCAATTTGAAACTCGGTATCACAATCCAAACTTTGATAAACTTAATGACTTTATTACAATTCAGAAAAAATAGTTACCGGAAAAACATGAACAACATGTCATTTGGTTGATATTACAACAAAATTACAAATATAATGATATAATGGAGAAAAAATATAACTTATGTCAAAAAAAATAATAATAATAACTAATGTTAAATCCTACGTGGCGTCCAATAAAAAGATTGATATCAGCCAATCATTAATTCGTTTTTTTCAAAAAGAAAATAGATCCACTCATTTCTTCCTCAAACTATAACACACATTTAGAATATTAAACCAGTATATACATTATTAAAATTGGACGTTGACATAGGCTGCAAATAAGACCATGATCATCATAAATAGCCTTTAATTAGCATACGAACCTAAAAATAAACGGGGTAATACCAAAACCGCTAAAGCTGCTTGGACAAAAGAGCATGATTAAACACAAATATACTAGCAATGTCGAGACCACCATGGACTTTTTACCCCAACAACTTACGCCAACTAATTCAAGTCATAGCCTACAACACTTTAAACAAAGATATGAAATAAGTCGGAAAAGATTCCAAGAACGACTTGATTAACATTAGCCGACCACCCACAAATAAAGTCTTAGCCTTCCAAGATGACAATTTGGTAGTAATATTTTTATGACATCCTTCTACACATCGATCGGATAAAGGTTACCACCAACAAGAAATCCATATATATATAAGAAAAAGTAGTACAAATAGCCGCACACCAGATATCCTTTTCCATCTCGTCAACAGCTAAGGAAGAAACTACAATACCTAAAAGATTACTTTTATGCACATTCAACTTTAATTAGTTCGGTAGCCAAAAAAAGAAAAGCATTAAAGCGTACGAACAACATTATTAACATTTTGTGAGACTACTAAACTAAAAAGATCACATCATTTGCATAAAAAATGAGTGGTTTCCATGGTCTGCTTCCCAAAAGAAAGACCATAAAAGATCTTCTTAGAACCAACCTCCTGAAAGGCTAAACCGTAACACGTAATCCTTCTATCTTGAAAAAAGCATAAGGAGATAGAGGGACACCTAGTGTCAACCCCTTCTAAAGATGAAACTCATAACTTATAGACCCATTAGCATGAACTGGATCCTTGGAAGATTAGAGACAATGCAACCTCGAGTCCAAGATCTTTATTTACACCAATAAGATATTTATTAATAAGCATGTCCGGATGCGAACAATTTCAGGATGGATAACCCCTGAGAAGTTTTCCTGTTGGGAAGCCCAAAGTGGACACCATTGTGGTATGTGCCTAAGAAGATGTTACAGTGTTGACTCATAATCAACTGAAACCTTTGTTAGAAGAATCAGTTGGTGGACTGACAAATGACGATCAAGAACTAAACCAAAAAGGTTGTCAACACATCAGTAAGGCCACCATACACCAAAAATTGGTCGATCTTGCTCATCTGAGTGACCTATTTTGTCTGGCCACATAAAGGATTACCCTCCTAAAGGGATGTCAACAAGACTCACATTAGAGATACATTCATTAAAAACATCTGCAAAGTTAATAGTGGAATATCAAAGCATATCGTTGTGAATCCAAATGATCATCATCAAATTCACCCATGATTACCACCACTCCATGACACCGAGTAATCATACCTACTACTCCATGACACCGAGTAATCATACCTACTAACTGGTTCAAAAGATCCATTTGCAACCAAATATCCTGAGGCGCATAAACCGAAATAATAAGAAAGGAAGTGGCAATAGGAGTCTACAAAGTACAACCTTCCACTACAACAAAAGAATCTGAAGAAAACGATCTATATTCGGCAAACAAAGGGTCCCAAATTAATACAAATAATACCACCCGTTGCACCCTTTGTACTATTAAACACAAAATCAAACTAAACTATTATTGGTTGTTATTTTATGATATTAATCGTATTTATCCCATTTTTTTATTTGTATTTTACATGTCTTTATCAACATACTTGTGTATAATATAATCATGTTATAATGCATAATTTAAATATTCATTTTTTATCCAATAATTTACTATATCTTATCATTATAGCAAAAGAAATCCACATTGATTTACCCTTTCTGCAATGCTCCGGGGATGAGTAGCGCAACCACGCTTGGCACGGATTTTACAAGGGACAGAATCATGAGGAAGGTCCATCATCTTCTCCATCGTGGCTGCCTCTAGAGCAGATTCTGATAGCCCAAAATTAAGCTAAAATTCAATTTAATTAAATTGTTAGTATATATATAATCTTTTTATCAATTAAATAGAATCTAAATCACATCTTTATAATTAATTATCTCCATATAATAAGTGGGATCAGCATAAAAATATCCAAATACCTCAGAATCCATGACATTGAGACCACTGATGTCAAGTTTAGCTCTTTTGTTATGCGATGAGTTTGAAAACATTAGGGAATTTGCAATGTCGTTCTCTTCGGATATTTGAGAAAAAGAACTTGTTCCAGTGAAACTAAGTTGAGAGCTTAATCTTGAACCCCTTCCGTCTACATTATCATCTCATCAATTAGTTCATATAATTATGTTTCTTTTTTAAATTATGTAAAAAATGATTTTTATACGAAATATATTCATTACGAAACAACATCAATGGTTTACCCGTAACATGTTAATTTAACATCAATCCTTTTACTGGGTTAGTAAGAAGCTAAATTTGATTCGTTTATATTTAAACCGTTTTGTAATTAGAAACCTTTAATTTGGTTTTACATATTTTCATATATATATATATATATATATATATATATATATATATATATATTATTGGATTCGATAAGAAATTATATCTGAAAAACTATTAAAATTTAAACAACCGTAAAATTTTAAATGATAGAAACATGACTGCTATCGCATCAAAAATGATTACAGTTGTATGTATTTTAGTTCTATAACATTTCGTCTAAAAGAAGTAGATAAATACATATTTGATATTATTAATAATTATTATTATACATGATTTATATATGTATGGAAATTAGATTCTGGTACATGCGCGACGAGCATATGTTTGAGTGGGGATCAGGTGGGGTTGAAGGGGAGACATGTGATTGGTCAGGTACGAATGGTTATGATGATGATTGATGCACTGAATCTACCCACCAATCAACCAATTTTCAAACTAAACAATTACAACTTGCAACTTGCGAATTGCAACTTGCGACACTTTATTTTTATATTTATTTATTTTTTATGTTCGATGCAGGATTTAATATATTCTTTTTGTCACATTAAAATTCTACGATAAACATAAAGAAGTATAAATGTAAATACAATATATAATTAAATTATATATACTAAAAGATATAACGGATGGAATTATAGTTCTAAATTTAATATACCACATACTATTATCTATAAAAGTGTATTCAAGTATGTATAGAAACACTACTAGCTAGTTTCATCCGTTTTTTATTATATTTTATAAAGCCTTTTTGTTCGTAATTAATGCTTTGTCTTTTCGGTCTGAATGCTCGACGATGTATTATCAAATAGCAAATTGATATAAAAATATAGTATTATATATTTTTGACACTCAATTGGAAGACATTCACATGAAACAAGATTGAACGAGTAGTTAAAAAGACCAATAATACACTGTATATGTAGACAAGTGGGACTTAAATATCATCCATTGGTTTTAAACAAAGCCCATGGTTTTGCTTTTCGAATATTTTTTTTCTTACTGTTTGGATTTGATTTTTAATTGATTAATTTGTATATATAGATTTCTTTAGTTGCATATTTATTCTACAAAACACTATAAATCGAGCCCATAAAATATATACTTAAAACGAATATAATCTAAATAATAATAGTTAAACAAAGGTGTAAAATATCATACAACTTAAGCCCATAATCTCCTCTGAAAAAATCTTTTTGTCACATATCACATGTTTATTGATTTGATCACATTTCATTTTGTGGTTATTTCTAATTAAATTTTTTTTCCATATGGTATTTTGTGTTTGTTTTATTTTTATTAAATTTCACATAATATTTAACTACATATATTAAGGGGCAATTACTAATCTAGCCAAATTAAGGAAGTTATTAGCAATTTATAGCAAAAAATTAGTAAATATCCAATTATAGACCACGAAACCGTAGGTTTTGATATTCGTCTACTGTTCCGCCAAATCGTCTAGGTTTTGATATTCGTCTACTGTTCCGCCAAATCGTCTACTGTTTCGTGTTTTGTATAATTTTTTTTTTTCATTTTTAGGATACAAAACCGTAGGTTTTTTAAAACCTACGGTTTCCTCTCGAAACCTACGGTTTTGGGTGAAAAAATACGGTTTTTTTTTAAATCTACTGTTTTGGGGGTTTTAACTACTGTTTTGGGGAAACCGTAGGTTTCGAGAGGAAACCGTAGGTTTTTAAAACCTACGGTTTTGTATCCTAAAAATGAAAAAAAAAAATATACAAAACACGAAACAGTAGACGATTTGGCGAAACAGTAGTCAACCTACAGTTGACTACTCTTTTGTGGACTATTTTTGGCTAAGTGGTTTTTTTTTTGGCTATTTTTTTGTTAAGTAATTAAGGATTTTGGCTGGATTTGTATTTTGCCCATATATTAATTGCAATAAATATAATAATAAATGCATTTCAATTTCATTAATCGACTTTCTTTTTAATTTCAAAATTTATAAATTAAAGCCATGTAATACATGAGTCTTACGCCTCGTAAAAAATATATATATACTTAAAAAGAATTAATTGAAGTTTTGGATTTCATCATCTAATAATTGTTCTTTGATTTAAAATATTAAACATGTATTAAACCATATTACCATTATTATCTACTCTTCAATCGCGTTGACGCCGGCTCTTTTTTTTTTTTTTGAACCGGCGGAGAATTTTATTAAAGCCACAGCCTAACGAGGCAAAGACAGGGCAAAAACATAAACAACACAGCTACAAAATGTCAAAAGGGTTACAAACCCAAACACACCGATTACAATTATTAAACTTTCCCCTATCTTTAACCCAATCAAACACGTCGGCTCTTTTAATATCTATCGTACGTACTTTGTATTTTTCTAAAATTATATTTAGTTTAATATTTAAAGGAAAATAGTTATTGATCGACATAATTATGTTAAAATAGTTGTAATTCAATTAAGTGCAAAACCAATTAGCACAAATAAGTAATTTGAGCATGTGAACAATAAATGAATGAAAAGAATGTTTATCTGTTGATTTGATTATGAAAATATGTAAGTATGTGACTAATAAATCTGATTGTAAAAATTATATATAACTGAAAATATACCAAAGTATTGATTAAAAAATATACCACACTTTTAGGATCTTTTTATAAATTGAGGTCTTATATATCTTCCATGTGTGGGAGGAAACTTAATTAATTGTTCGATGGAATTTTTATGTACTGGAAAATGGATGTAACCAATTAATCGGCGGTCCAATAATTAATTAAGGATTGGTGTTTATTGTTTTCAACGTAGGGTTTTCGTTTAAACATGAGTTATATATGCGCGTTGGTTAACAAATGAAGACCTTGTATTCAGACAATATTGATTCATTAAACTCCCTTATAATTTAAATAAATAAATATGATATGTTTTATTACAACTGTATAAATATAATGTACGTAAACCTAATCTGTTTTATTACAAAATATAAGGATATATATATAACTAATAAGTAATAACTATTAATGCAAAAGATGTACAAAATATAATTTTATGCAATTTTGAATTTAATATATTCATCATTTCAAAATTTCAACCTTAACAAATACAGAACATATAAGGAATTCGTGAGTTAATGAATAATCTCCCCATCAAAAGATAAAAATGCATAATATATAGTATGCATATAATTAATAACTATTAAAGTATCAGTGCAAAAGATGTAAACTATAAGTCTATTCAATTTTGAATTTAATACATTAATCATTTCAAATTTTCAACTATAAAAAATTTCAGAATGCATAAGAAATTCGTGAATTAATGAATAATCTCCCGATTAAGAGTGTTAAAATTGCATAATAGTACACATACATTGCATGAATTAAACTTCATAATTAAATAATGTTTAGAGCATGCTAATATCCAGTTTTGCTAAGAAAAAAAGTTAGAATTAAAGTTTCTGAAAGTATATGATATATATCGTATAAGATTGTTTTATCTTTAAAACTATATATAGGAAAAATACTCATGTATTTGCATGAAAATCCATTTACTTTGTGCATGTCTCTACGATTTTATCAAGTGTTATTGGTACATTTGGTTCTTGGAATACTAATGTGTGTGATACTTTATATATGTGCATTCCTGTAGAAATTCACTAAATTAGGGCATCATTTCATATTAAATAATAAGTTAGTTCTATATGCAATACATTAAATTTCAGAAAGAGATCAAGAAATTTAAGGGTTTAAGCGAGGGTGGTCAAATGTGTATTATATCTTCAACCATGCATTTGATAAACCTATATGTTGTAAGGGTATACGCATTAAAAAGGTAACGAACAGTGATAGAGATAAAAAATCATTTTTGAAACGTTTTAAACGAACAATGCAAGTTGAAAGCAATTATGAATATAATATTTTTAGGGTTTTCCTTTATGCGTACTCCGATGAATACTATATATCATCATGGAAACTTCTAGGTCAAGATGTTTTATATATAATTTAACCGAGCTAATATAATCTTCCTGCTAGCTAATTAACAAATTAAGTATGGATTTCAATTAGATACATAAGTAAAATAGGGTGTGAAAATATAATTAAAGGACGAACCAGTGGGAGTAGAAGAAACAAGAGTGTTGAGAAAACCGGCGGGGGAGCTGCCGTGCCGGAATAACGGAGACGGAGTCTGAGATGTACCTTTCAAACCATTAAAAGCGGTTGCGAACTCGTTTAAACGGAATGAGGTGGTTGGTAACCGATCTCCGGTGGAGAGCTGCGAAGATGTCGAATCTGGAGGTGAGAAGAAGCGAGTAGGGGTTCCGCCTCCGCCAACCATATTGTGATTTCCGACGGTGGTATGTTGGGTTTGTCCATTGATGACGGAGTCTACGGTGGTGGTTAAAAAGGAGACGGGAGCAGAACGGTAGCGAGCGAGGCCTTGCTGTGCTCCTCCCCCACCGCCGTTAACGTTACTGCCATTGATGGCGTTAGGATCTCCTCCTGAAGTCTGAGATGCGGAAGATGAATTGGAGGTGGGATACATATCAATCTTTCTTTGCCAGAAATGGGGAAGATGGAGAGAGATGAAGGTCGTTGAAGAAGCAGCCTGCAAGAGATGCGTTGGATTGGATAAATATAAGAGGAAAATTAATGTCCCACTTGTTCAAAGTCTGCGGTCTCTTTCGACAAGCTAATTCAATTTCTTTTACTTGATTTTTTAATCAACTATTCCATTAAAGGCTTAAAGCTAAAAAGTAAAAACATTTTTCTAATTCTTGTTATGTGTTAATTATGGTGATAAAAAAAAGGTAAACGCCACTTCTTGATTAAGAATGTCTTTGAAAAAAATATCATTTGTATTATCGAATATAACTATAAATACATCATATTTAGTAACAATTAAGTATCATAAATTAAAAAAATAGTTGTAATGGTTATATATATATATATATATATATATATATATATATATATATATATATCATTTGAGAACTCATATATTCCCGAGAACCCGAGAACCAAACAAGAGCCGCTGGATGAAAATAATAGATGGCCAAGATGATTTGTGGCATTGTTGTAAATAATTGGAAAAAAATAGAACGGGGGTAGCTTATTAAATTGAATCAAAGGACATTTTAGGGAGAAGATAATTTGGTCGATCATCCTTATACTCTCCCTTCATCTAGTTTCTCTCTCTCTCTCTCACCCTTTCATCCCGCTTCGACCATCTCGCCTCCGACTATCCATATCCGATAATCTCCAGATCGTCGACGACATTTTCTTGACCAAATACATGTTTCCGATGAGTCGGATTCCTAAAATCGACGAAGATTGGCCGACGATAATGAATATGCTTAAGCAGAATCGATGAGTAATGTTGTTTACTTCCAAATCGGAAAAAGAGGCATCCGAGGGAATCACTTATGAGCGGAGATGCATCATTGAAAAATCAATGTAATTTTTAGTTTTTGAGCTACTTTATTGAATCGTCATCGTGGATCTGTTTGACAGTACCTTTGCCGATACGTGCCTCCTCCACGTTAATTCTGCCTCCTTCGAATCCTCACCTGCCGATCTCACCTACCGTAATCGGTTCCTCCTCCATGATGATTCCGAAGCCATGGGCGTACCTGGTCTTCTGATGTATTATTTCACCATCTACTGCAGTTGTGATGGTAAATGGTAATTCCTTATAACGATTGCATCACAGTTTTCATTGCTTGCTCTTCTTTGATGTTCAATTTTTTGATGAATCCTTTTCAAGAACATCACTATTTGTGCAGTCCCTTCGCATTTTTCTTGGTCTTGATTCAGTACCGAATTACACTCTTGCTGATATCAGTGAGCAATCTATGCTTAAAATGCATGTAAAACCAGAGGTATTTATCTATGCTATGAATGTTTAAAGCACAACAGCTCTTTGTTTTTATATTTGTATAAATTATATTGTTCTCATGTTACAGACATCAGAGATACGTCCGTATGTTGTTTGTGTTGTTTTGAGAGGCATAACTTTCAGTGAGGCAAGATATAACAGCTTCATTGATCTCCAAGATAAGCTTCACCAAAATATATGCAGTTAATATATAAATCTTTATTTTTTCCAGTTGTAGTATGTTACAAGTGAAGTTGCTGACATCACTGGTTTCAAAGTATGTATTGTATCACAGGACATATAACATTGAATTTATAAACTCATGTCATATTTATCTAAAACGAGTAAAGTAGAAATATGTGTTAATTAGTTGGACATATGTAAGTGATTAGTCAATGGGATAATGTGAAAAGTGTAAAAATGTAATAGTAAATAACACTAGAGACTTAGAGTTAAATTATGTTATAAAGGAAGCTTAAAGGTATTCTATTACAATGGATTTGTCTTACATGTATTCTTCTTCAATAAACATAGTCTTTATGTACACCTTTATCTTTTTGTAACCATTTGCATCTCTCAAACCTACAACCCCTCACCCTTTATTCATTCACATTTTGTCATCATCATCATCATCAAAGCTCCACAAAATATGCACATTTAACCAAATTTTCATTTGCTATTCACTTCCAAAAGCAACAATTGTTTCAAATCCTACACATGTTCTACCTTCCTTCCTACTTGTTGTACTTGATCTTCCGGCTCACAATATCTTTTCCAAAACCAATGTTGTTGACATCACTGGTTTCAAAATATATGCAGGTAATATATGAATCTTACAAGTGAAGTTGCTTAGGTTCACCATGTAGTTTCCAACGTACCTCCTTTATGCCGCCTAAGATCTTATAGTTGATCAATTGTTTCAGAAGTTCGCAAGGCTGTAACAGCTAAAGTCGAGCCTTTGATGCTGGTTCAGTGTTCAATGATTGAATTCAAAAGCAAGAAGCCGAGGATATTATTGGTGTTGCTCTTCACTAACCAAGGATGATCTGATCTGATATACTTAATTAATACATATAAATTAAAATATCACGTCTTCATTTGATTTCTATACATCAAAAAACAGTATTCACAACTTATAAATCATGAGCCAAAACACCTAAATCAACTAACAATTAAAATTATCATTTTTGGACCTAAAACAGCCACTGTTTAAAGCTGTTTTAGCACACTTGAAACCTGTATAACTTCCGTTTTTATTTCATATTCCAGAAGTTCAGACTTTTTTCTTTTCAGAATGTACTTTTGAAGGTCCAAATGATTTTTCTACAATTTTATATGATTTTTACAAAACTGCCTATCAATGCAGCTAAATTCTGACCAGCTGGTGAAAATGTGATTTTCACCTAATTTAGAAGCAACAACAGGTTATGGAAAAATTAATGGATAAACTAGATTGAAAATGGAAACTTTGAAAGTTTACGGATCATTAATTCGATTCCTAGTGATTTTTCTATAATGTTTCCAATACAGGGACACATTTGTAATTTTTGCTGAATTTTCCAGCTTTGGATTTCAAAGGCTTTTTGACCACTTAACATATTAAGCCATCACTAAGAACACCCATAAGGGTAAAAATTAGCCTCTAAACAGACGTGGCATGTCAAACAATAAAAATATCATCCCACTCACAACCCACTCATCAAGGTACAAAATATTTGGTGGAAAACAAAGTAGGTTGCACGAATAGGAACTTGGATTTCTTCCACCACCAATTCTCATAGAAGGAATTTGAAAGATTGTTTTGAGGCTTATTGGGTGACTCAAAAAATGATTTAATCTAAACAAACAACAACAAAATCATGAGCACTCCTGTATTTATTTCTTTTCTTTCTCTGTCTCTATTATTGGTTTGTGAGTATGCAGAAAGCAATTTTTCTGACTCCTTGGACATGTTTGAGGATAAAAGTTTAAAAATAGAAGATGATTCTGACTTGACATGATGTTCAGGTGATGAACGTGGTGTCAGGGTTCTTATGAATGTTGATAGCTTTGGTGCTGTTGGAGATGGAGTTTTTGATGACACAAAGGTGAATATACATATATAGTCTTTATTGAGTGTATTGATGGAGTCATTAAGGGGATTCTTTTTATTTTCATGTATATTACATAACAGGCCTTTGGAGATGCATGGAAGGAAGCATGTTTTACAGATTGCATTCACTGGAAGCAGTGCAATATATAATGATATATGCATGAGAACTCAACTGTAAAAATGGAAGAACAAGACTCGGAAGAAGAACAAGGAACTCCATGTGGATATGATTCAAAGTGCCATCCAACAACTCTTCTATCAGGTCAATCATAATTGATAATGGTTCATGTTCGAATTTTCTTGAATTTTTGTATTTGTCTGAATCATGGTGTGACGGTTATAAGTAAATCACATGTAAATCACAAGTAAATCACATATGAATTACATGTGATTCACATGTAATTATGAATTACATGTGATTCACATGTAAATCACATGTAATTCACACATGATTCATATGTAATTCACATATGAATTACGTGTGATTCACATGTAAATCACAAGTGATTCACATATGAATTACATGTAATTCACATATGAATTACATGTAATTCACATATGATTCACATGTAAATCACAAGTGAATCACATATGAATTACATGTGATTCACATGTAAATCACTAGTGAATCACATATGAATTACATGTGATTTACATGTATATAATATCTAATTCACATATGAATTACATGTGATTCACATGTAAATCGCATGTAATTCATATATGATTCACATATAAATTACATGTAATTCACATATTAATCACATGTAATTCACATATCACAAGTGAATCACATATCAATTACATGTGATTCACATGTAAATCACAAGTGAATAACATATGAATTACATGTGATTCACATGTAAATCACTAGTGAATCACATATGAATTACGTCAATATGCACACATGCATTTGTTTGAGTGGTCTTTGTTAATTTTTTTTTTATTTTTTTGTGAATTTCACATTTGAATCTTAAAAGATACAATCACATGTGAATATCACATTATATAATCATATTTGAATCACATGTGAATCTTACATGATATATACTTGTGCATTTTTCTGAGTGTTTTTGCATTAATCAATTTTTTTTTAAATTTTCTTGTAGGTTTTAAAGAATTTGTTGAAAATATTGAAGAGGTGAAAAGTGATAAATTGAAGAAAATATGGAAATCTTGATATGAAGAAATGATAACATTGTGAATCTTTGTAGTTTTTTTATATTTTATTTTGTATCGAACAAAATACGTGTATTATGTTTATAGATTGATTAATAAAAATGTGATTTTTTATAATTTACTTACGAATATTATAGTATAAGAAATATGTATATATGCATTTGAAAAAATATGCATATATGCACCTAAAACGTTGATTTTTTTGTTAAAAAATGCAGTTTTGAAAAAAATTGCATTTTTTTATAAAAATCGCAGTTTTTTTTTTTTTGAAAAAAATGCAGCTTTTCTGAAAAAAAATGCAGTTTTTTTGAAAAAAAAAATACAGTTTTTTTTTTGAAAAAAAAAAATACAGTTTTTTTTTGAAAAAAAAAAATACAGTTTTTTTTTTGCATTATTTTTTGAAAAAAAAAATGCAGTTTTTTTTTATAAAAGATGCAGATTTTTAAAAAATATTTTTTTTCATTTTTTTTGAAAAAAATTAAAAATCTCCATTTTTAAAAAAAATCGATTTTTTTTCTTAAATAAATCCGAAATTTTGAGTTATTTTTTAATTTTTAGACATTTATATTAATATATTAAATAACACAAAAATTAAACATTAAATGAGATTGGTAAGATGACGATCATGTCCTTAACGAATTACTTTAATCGAACGCTCCACTTTTAGTTTTCGAGTTCTCGGAAAACTTTGAGTTGTCAACCGATCTCAATCCTATATATATATATATATATATATATATATATATATATATATATATATATATATATATATATATATATATATATATAAATTTTAAAGCTTTATATTGGAAATGGTGTGATATTGTGCCGTTTGGTGCCGTTGAAGATTATAATTAGTAACAATTAAGTATCAAGTTGAATTTTAAAGTTAAAAAAATATCATCATAATTAGTAACAATTAAGTATCAAGTTGAAGATTATAATCATACGATTTTGAAGTGCCGTTTGGTGCTAGAGATCTTTGAGAAGGTTTGGAAATGGTGTGACATTGTGTTCCCTTCTTTACATTTGATAGTGGAGCTTGAGAACATTTTCCATGATTTGCATTTATCGGCGACTCGGAAGAACGTGGTAGATGCATTTTGATCTATAGCTTGGTGGTGTTTGTGGAATTTTCATGACAAGTTTCTTTTTGATCGGGTTAGGCATAGATTGTTAGATGATATTGTAACTTTCTCTTTTTGTTGGACATGCATAAAAAGCATGAGCTCCACATTAATTGGAATATATATGATTTTAAACATGATGTAATTGCTTGGATTTTTCTAGTTTCTTACTCATTCCAACAAATATAAGGTAAATTAGTATGAAGTTTAAAATGAATATATTATTCAAAATAGATGATTTATTTTAAACCATGTTTATTTGGATGATCTCTATTATAAGATTTATAGATGTGTGTAGTTATATGGTTAAAGATTATTGAGATTTACGATTTTACACATGTTTTTTTGGTCATTATATATATATATATATATATATATATATATATATATCTATATATATATATATATATATATATATATATAGGTTCTTAATATTTCGAAATCACTCCTAGATTAATCATAACCATCGGTTCCAGGCAACCAATTTCTAGATTTTTTTTAATACTATGAAAGAAATTGATTGATTATTACAAACACCAAAATAAATAATGAACCATAAAAATATTGACAACATATAATACAAATAAAACATTACAAATCGTAAATATTGATATTCCGAAGATTTTATTTTTAGAACAGCAGGATTCTATTAAAAATAAACTAGCAAGATGCTAGTAAAGAAAATAATACATCATGAAGAAATAACAAGTTGTGGGTTTTGAAGCCAAACAACCCAGTTTAAGTTTTTCTTAGACCTAACTTTGCACCAAAAGAAGGTTTTAGTGACAAAATTATCAAATAAAACTGCCATCATCGGAATAGAAGAAGCAAAAACTCGAGCATTCATGTACTTCCAAATGTTCCACAAAAGAGAGTAGAACACACCCTCCAACCATCCTTGGGCAACGAACGGAAGAAAACCAAAGAATCTAGTCGTCAAAAGAAGCAAACAAATAATTATCAAAACCCCACCATCTAAGGACCTGTAAATGGAGATACATAGCCAAACGACAAGAAAAAAACAAATGATTTATGTTTTCTGCAAGAGAATCGCAAATAGGGCAAACAAAAGACGGAACATCCAATCCCCTAGATAAAGGTTCTGTCTAGTTGGGAGTTTATCGAGACTCATCCACCACGCAAATACATTAACCTTTATGGACACCAATTTACACCACTTAGTCTCTGAAGAAGAAAAATGAAGAGTCTTCTCATCAATGAAGGATCTAACAGACGCCACCATGAATTCCCCCACTCCTGAAAGAGCCCAAAACCACGTGTCATAGCAACCGAGAAAGAAAAGGAACCCAACAACCGGACAAAAATTTTCCACTGAATGGATTCGGCTCCCCCCCCCAAGAGATCTACGAAAAGAAGAAACGATAAAGTCATGTTCCATCTTAGCTTGAACAGTCACCTGTTTTTCCAACTCAAGATTAAAAAGTATCGAGAACTGACTTTTAAGAGGTGAACCGCCAATCCATATATCTTCCCAGAAAGCAGTGGTAGACCCGTTTCCAATCCTCTTTGTATAGAACAACATTAGATTCAAACCTTTATCCTTTAAGTGATTTACTACTTTCAAGATATCAAGCCAAACCGAGGTCTTTCCCATAGGTAACCGACTTCCAACGAAAGCATTTTCTCCATGAATACATTTAAGCACTTTCACCCAAAGAGAATTAGGATTATTGAAAAAACTCTAAACCCACTTAAAAAGAAGAGCTCTATTCAAAGCAAAAAAGACTGCTAACCCCCAAACCTCCATGTTTCTTGTGAGCTGAGACTTTTTTCCAAGCAATCCAACTCATTTTTTTCTCATCTAAATTAGCTCCAATGAAGAACTTATTTCTCATAGCCTCAAACGAATTTAAAATACCAATGGGAGCCTTACATAAGGACATAAAGAAAGTCGGCAGTGATCCCAAGGTAGACTTAATTAAAGTCAATCTACCACCCACCGATACAGTTTTAACTTTCCATTTGGAAAGCCATTCCGCCACCTTTAGAATAATATCTTTCCAACTTGAAATCTGGGACATGCTCCCTCTCACTATAAGACCAAGATAAGGAAAAGGAGTCTTCATAGTCACACATCCAATAAGAGAAGCTAAATCTTCAACCTGCATGCTAGGCACCCTAAAACCAAGAAGCTTACTTTTATTTAAGTTGATCTTCAAGCCCGAGGCTAAAAAGAAACAATGAAGCACATGAACAATGTTTCTGATGTTTAACTCCTTCCATTCCCCCAAAAAGATAACATCATCCGCATAAATAATATGATATAAGCAAAAGCCAGACGAATAATCGAAAGAGATACCACGAAATAAACCTTGGTCAACAACTCGTTGAAAAGCCACATGTAAACTCTCCATGATTAAAATAAAAAGAAAATGTAAAAGAGGACCGCCTTGTGTAACACCCCGTTTATTAAATAAATAAATAGATAAAATTAATAAACGAATAGTGGCCCTAAATGCGGAATAATTTAGCAAGGCGTTGTTGTTGGGGGTTAAAATGTAAGTCCCGGATTAGTTTGTAAAGAATTTTGGAGGTTGAGGGTGGGTTTGGTAAATTCTGGATTTAAATTGAAATAAAATCATGAAGAGAGGGGCTGAATGGTAAATATTGGATTAAAGTTGAAAAGATTTATGGAGACAAGGGCTAAAGTGTAAGTTTTGGATTTAAATTGAAAACAAATATTGTGGGGAGAGACTAATATAGGATAAATGAATTCAAGTTTGATTTGGAGTCACGGGATATACCAGATCCCCATTTCCCTCTCTTTGAACGGATGCAACCAAGAACCTTAAACCTCACATAACTTCCTTCAGCCGCCATGCT